CGGGAGACCAGTACACACAAACTGATTGTCTGTGTGTGCTCTTTCGTGACGGAGCAAGCAGGCCCTTTCCGTTCACGATGGTCGGATCGTGGAGCTCGGAAACGCAGGTGAACAGCCCACCTTCCAGGGTAGATTGTCGCTTCACTCCGCCCAGGCAGGCAGTCCGAACAGACCGACCAGTCCGATCCGTCCAAACAGTCAGACCAGCCCCCGCTGCATCCTCTTGCTGTTCGTTTGTCGCTATGGCAACCACCGCTTCGGGTCGTGGCCTGGCGGCTAGGTTAGTCTGGTGTTCGCTGTTTTGACAAGGCATCCTCATGTCGCACCGGAATTTCTTGCCTGGCCGACAAGACGCTCTTCTTAATCTGCAAATTTTGCCGTCTGTGGTCATTTCAAGCTGTGCCTGCAGAAGCTGAGCAGGTGGCTGGCACATGAAGGAAGGAGAGAAACAATAATTCTGGGTCGAATTTTAGCGTTTCGCAGCCCTGGAAGGCATCTTCATGTGGGGATGAGCTGGCCAATTCGGGCCGTCCGGAAACGCCTACTTTACACCTTCTTTCTCGGAAGCTGACGGATTATAGGACTAATAGTGGGCACTTCGGGCACAATACTAAGCCTAGTCCTAGCGATGTCATTGTGGATAAAATAATTTCACTATCAATGCTTAAATCGTCTTCAATGACAGTTCTTAATGAAGAATTGCCTTCTCACATTTGATAAGCAAATTCATATACGTTGAAAACTAGCCAGTTTTGATACTATCATTAAATCTTGAAGAAGACGGAAAGTGGCAGGAGGGGTGTGAAAGCATTTGCTCGGTCCGACTTTCTGACGTTTTTCGAACTCTACCCTCTATTAGAATTACACTCTCTGTAGTTTCCTTAACTGTATACGAATTGGGAGTCAAAATTCGGAACCTTTCCTTAGGTCTCATTGGCGGCAAATGGGTCGGATTGCTGAGTAACCAAGACAAGCGCCATATTTGATTTCAAAATAGCATAGAAGTTTTTCGTTATTTTATAAGTAATGTAGTCGATTGCTATATCAAATACAGCTTTGCTTTATCGACAATCCCACGATAGAATGTGATATATAAAAAGGCCTGGTCTTATTTACAATTCAAATCTGCCCTGTGGCACAAGGGCATTCGTGGGAATGTGGCATAGTATTCAGCGTATCAAGAGTATAAGCTATAGTGTCATTTCTCGTGTCCCACTGGGGGTGGGAATGAGACAAGGTCGTAACTGCAGTCCATTTCCGTCTGGATGAAAATCCTCTTGGGAAAGCAAGGCTATGTGGAATTCGAAGAAGTGGGGTCTTCTCATATAATTGTGGGAAAATTCAACTAACCATTTCTTAATCACCTCTCTCTTATTGGTGCTCCCAGTGGGATTTGAGCCATACTCTCGGTGTTCCCATATAATAGTGTGAATCAAGAGAATCATGCTTGGCGTTGAAAGTCGAGCTTCTCGTGTAATTCGATGTGGCTAGGGTTGTGTGGCTTAGGAGACAACGTGCTTGTTCCTGAAGCCACGTTGCCCAAGATTCGAAACTATTTGGGCGTGTTGAATGGACGGTGACTCCAAATTGAAACTGCAATCCAGACTTGGAAGGCATAACACAATGGTATTGGCCTGACGCCTTTTTCGCAGCTTGGCCATGTTGCCAGGGCAACCTCAAGAGGCTTGACTCGTCCGACGTCCTCTGCAATAGTGTTTATAGTAGTCTTCAGTGTCGGGACATGGAATAGCTACAGTCCTGCATAACTTGCTAATCACAGCTCAAGGCTAGAATTAATCACGAAGACTAACTGGGTTTCGATGACTTTCCTGGGTTAACAGTGTCAGGGGAACTTTCCTGTCATAGTCCCTACAGCAGTAGACTTAGTCAAATAGAAAAGTTTTGCTTCTGGCACGGTTCATGGACGATTCTGATCAAAATGACGGGAAAACGTACGAGAATTTACCACTTCCATGGTCTGACACCGAAAATCACCCCCAGCACTATTGCAGAGACGCCTAGTAAGGTTGGTTATTAGAGGTTTATTCGACGATATTGCCAAGCTATCTAAATGGGGTCGGACCATTTCTAGGCTACTTATGGAGCCTGCTACCAAAATAGAGACCATACCATCTTGGCCTTCATACTCACAACGGCAAAATTGAATTCAATCCAAATATTAGGCCTTCCCATAAAATTTATTTATAAACGTAGGTCGGATTATAGACAGCGACCATTCTCGGCCTGTTGTCTGGTGAATTTTGTAGGAGAATGGCTTCTTACTCTGGTGACGTATTCTGCAGGACAGGAGAGAATTCACACAATTTCAGCCGATTGCAGGACGGTGCACCGAGTGCTTCTACACTGAGATAATCACTCCCAAATATAAGGGAGCTTTTCTTTTGCTACGAGTGAGACCAAGTCACGAATAGCTTCATGCCAGCTTTTCATGTAAAACCAGAGGTTAGTTGACATAAGATTGGGAATTCTCGTCAACCTGCACGAGAAACATGTAGTATTAGAGGAGTTGACAATGCTGTAAAAGGCGGTTTCGTTTGATACGGAAATTAACTGCTATATGCATCGGTCTTGGTAGCACTTCTTGCGGGATTCGAAGTGTAGACGTGCAGGTTCAGATGCAAACAAGTCCCTCATAATTGCATTCAAAAGCACGATTTTCAAGATGTTAATGTCTTCACATAACGCACACTTTTGCCCGAATCTCGCCTCGATGGGTGATCATATTTCCGTCATTAAACTCGATGCTCATTTGGTTGGGCTCATCGAGAAGCTGGCTGTTGGCATGGCGCACAATTTTTGTGCACTGTCACGGAAACTGTTGTCGGTTCTAGCCGGGATAAAGCGCATCCGGCTATGAGTTATCGTGTCTGCCTCGGGGCATACATGTGCACGGTTTCAATCCTGCCAGAAGTGCGAGTCGAAAGCACAGTCCAATTTGGATGAAAACGATTGGAACACCAGGTTGTGGAACGTCTCTTCCTTATTCTACTACTCGTCAAGGCCTTTTTCACACCTAACCACTTTAGTGAAGCCATAGCTCAATAATGTCAACAATTCGTCTCCTTTTAGCGCCTCTCCGGTACAAGCTATCTGGACGTTCTTAAAACCTCTCCAGATCCAAGCCCCTCTTGCCACTTATATGGCTCATATAAAACGCATTGCATGACGGTACCAATAGGAAATCTGACGAAGACTAATTCTCGAATGTGCCAGAGGCCGCTTGGAGACCTGGATTTTGATCCGACTTTGGAGCCAAGGGGCATCATTTTCATAACGCGGAGTCCCTAAGGATCGCATCGCAGTGGCCTCAGATCATAGTTGTCATGTTTTCCCCTCTTACGCCTGCCGGAACAGCTTCTGGGGCTGTACTT